GATCTAGAGACAGAGAAGGGTCAGGGAGGCCCCGGGGCTGGCCCCTCTCCCTCAGAGGCCCCCCAGGGCTGGCCCCCCGTCCCCTCAGAGCCCCAGAGGACCCAACTTCGCAGGGCACCACGGAGGGGCGAGGGGCGGGCAGTGACGCTCACCTTGCTGCCCTCGGCCCCCGGGTCCTTATACTCGGTCCATTTCAGGCCGTCAGTACTGTGGGCCACCTTGTAGGGCTGCCACGTACTGGATGTTGCCGAAGTCTCGGGCTCCCTGCGTGATGATGCCGGTCACCTGTTTCTGAGAGCCCAAGTCGATCTACAGGGGGAATAAAATAAAATAAAATAAAATAAAATAAAATAAAATAAAATAAAATAAAGCACATTTTCTTCGCTTGCATCCTTTCCAGTAAAGTGGAAAAAGACAGTCACGCTGAGACAGGAAGCGCAGTTTGGGGAAAGCTGCTTGTCAGGGAGGATGTTGGCCTCAGAGCCTCAGTTGCCTCATCTGTAAAATGGGCATAAATATGCCCGGCCGGTGTGGCTCAGTGGTTGGGCGTCGTCCTATGAACCGGGAGGTCACGGTTCGATTCCCGGTCAGGGCACATGCCCGGGTTGCGGGCTCAATCCGCAGTGTGGGACGTGCAGGAGGGAGCCGATCCATGATTCTCTCTCATCATTGAGGTTTCTCTCTCTCTCTCTCCCTTCCTCTATGAAATCAATAAAAATATAAAAAATAAAAAGTAAGTACCACCAACTTTGTCAATGAGGCAATTCACTGCAACGGAGCTCACATTTCAGAGTCGGGGCCCTGGCCAACCCCTCGGCATGAAGGGCTCCCTGGGACCCCGGCGGGGCTGACCACAGCCGGACCTTGGTCCTGAGGAGCCCAAAGGCAGGCAGCGCCTCACAGAACCCGGCTCCACGGGCTAATGTGCTCCTTGGGGCCCAGAGACAGGCCTGATCCCGGCCCTGACCATCCTGGGGAGCCGGCCACCTGCTCCCACACAGGCAGCCCCAGGCCCCAGGGTGCAAACTCAACTCACTGCCAGCCAGCAGGGGAGCCCCAGGCAATTCCTGACCCTGCCAGGACTCCGCTTCTGCATCTGTGACATGAGCGGATGCTTTGGTGTTCGCGATTCTCGTGTTTCCCAATTTCACTGAAACCCGAGGGCTGCCCTGTGGTCTGTTCTCAGACAGCGTGTCAG